CTCTCACCTTAAATACCATCCCCAGCTAAAGACAAAGGAGGATGTTGGGGGTGGGGGGAGTCAGTTATGGGAGATTACCAGAAATGCACAATAAACAAAAGTAAGATTATTATGCAGATTTAAGTCCTTGTCTTCTGCACTGATAAGAGTTTCCAGAGATAAGGTCATCCCCCTTCTTCCTGGTGCAGAGAGGAAGACACCTTTACAGATGGAGATTTCCTTTACAAATGCAAATGTCTCTTACAAAGGGTAACTTCTGCTTTTCAGAGTTTCTCTCGTGTCTGCAGTTTTTAAAAGTAACCAGACCAAAATAATCCTCATGCCAAAGAGACACATCTTGGGGTGGCCAATTCCAGTCCCCCACATAGGTTTCATGCAAATATCATGCCATTTTCTATGAGGGACTTGAGCATCTCAGATTCTGGTATCTCCCGGAGGTCCTGGAACCAACTCCCTGCAATGTTCAGGGAGGACTGCAATAAGGCAGAGAGGAGAATCAACAAGAAAAAACTAAGAAAACATCCAGAAATTGAAGAAGAAAAACAGTGGGGAGGAGACTGAAGGTACGAGATGCCACAGAGCAAGGAAAATAAAGATAGGGCAGGAGATGTGTCTCTGGTAAGTTACACTGAGTCAAGCAGTAGAAGGTAACAAAGCATATTTTTACGAACATGTTCCTTAAATGTTTGCAGAGAAAAGCAAAGGATACTCATGTAAATACTGATCCAGACTTGGAAGAGAAAAGAACTAATTAAACTGCGTATGTCTGGAAACGGACAAGAAAAAAATAACGTAATTTATCTTGTCAGAAAGAATTTACTCTAATTCTATACTAACCCTCATACACACACAGGTGTTGCCTCAGCCCTACCACCTGGGAATTAGGTAGAAAGAGGTAGAAATTTTGACCCCTAGCCCAGAGGGAACAGATTTCTACCAACCAGAAAACCAGGCAGCCACTTGTCACATGGCTACAGCCCTGAGACGGCACAGTGCTTGTTTTCTGCCCTTTAAGAATTGCATCCATCTATTTATTATCACTGTTGTCATTATCCTTCTGTGTCCTTTGGAGCACTGCAATTCCAGTTTTAAAGGAAGGACCAAAGCATAGGAGGACCAGCAGAAGAGCATTGTGATCTGGCTTGTGTATTCACCTTATGAAAAGAACTGCAGATTGGGCCAATATATGAATATAAGAAATACATATTTAAGCAAAAGCCCTCAAAAAATAAAGCATCTAGAGAGTAACAGCTTCTTACATATCTTTACATATACTCATGAATACACTAAGTGGCTGGCGCTCTGGATGCTCCATCTTTGGTGCTGTGGAGAAAAATGAAGGCGGGCAGGAGAAAGGGGGTGCCTGGGGTCTCAGGAGGGTGGAGAGTAAAGGCCTCAGAATGTGTGTCTTTAATACTAAAACCACAAGGTACTTAGGCATTGGCTAGTGTGTTCTAAAACAAAAAGTTAATTATCCAGGTATTCCATATGTAACCAAATTATCATTCACCTAACAATCATGTAGAAAGGAAAATAGAAAGATTGTAATATTCAGTTTCCCAAAATATACCACATATATATTCTAAGTGAATAAAATTCTAGACTGCATACTCCATCTGACTGAAAGATGAATCAAAATAAAATAGTCAAGAAAGGGAAGCTGTAGTAGGAAAAAAAACAATGAGGAGGACTAAATCCTTTTATACACAGATTAAAGGATAAATTATTATAAATATGTGTTTAAAGATAAATGGCAGCAAAAATGTGTATTCAAAATCACATATGCCAAGAAAATGATGAAACAAAAGAGTATTAAGTGGATTTTGTCCTAGAAAGTCAAAACAAACTGTAATTCATAACAATTAAAGCAATGTGGTATTCGAATAGGACAAGGAAAAGAGTAAAAGAAAATAGAGTGAGAAACAAGCACAAGTCCACATTGGAATTTAGTGTCTGATGAAAGTGGTTTTTAAAATCAGTGGGTGAAAGGTAAAACATTCAATATATAATGCTGGTCAACTGGCTGAGATTTTGGAATAAAAAGTAAACCAGGTCACACAACCAGAAGAACCTACAACTAGAATATACAACTATATACAACTATGTGCTGGGGGGCTTTGGGGAGAAGAGGAAAGAAAAGAAAAAAGAAGATTGGCAACAGATGTGAGTTCAGGTGCCAATCTTTAAAAAAATAAAAAATAAAAATAAGCCAAGTCTTTATTTCTCACAGTAGATAAAACAAATTAAAGACCCAAACAATAAAAAAAAAAAAAAAAAGTCTAAAAAATACTAGATAAAACTAAGGGAGAGTATTTCTTATATTCTTGAGATAGTGATATCCTACTTTAAATGACAAAACAGTCCTAGATTCTGTAAAGAAAAACAATGATATAATTGACTACATCAAAATTACAAGTCTCAGTTGGGCAGAAGATGCAAAGCTAAAACATGAATTACAACAGCACTTCCTCGACACCCACGTGCATGAGTATCTGCAACATACAAAAGAACGCTTACAATTCCAGAACACAACCTGAAATAACCTGTTTTATAAGTAGGCAATTCAAGAAGTAGAGAAGGGATGTACAGATCTGACGGGATGCTAGAGGACAGAGCATCAACATGGGCAGGAACTACCCAAGTTTGGGCAAAGGAAACACAGCAAGGCCACATGCAGGAGCAGTCAGAGCACGGGCAGCCATCACCATGTGTCCTCTCCATCTTCTCATCCTCACTCAAGAACCCTTGTTGGGCAAGTGAGCACCTGGTAAGCTGATCATATGCTTTTCCCTCAGCTCTCCCAAGGGGCAAGAAGAGGAATGAATCAACTCTTTGGCTTCCATAGTAGGAGGTGGCAATGGGAAAGAGAGAAGGGATCAAAGAATAAACTAAAGAAGGAAGGAAATTAATGATCTTGAGATGCTATGTGTCAGGACCTTTTCTACGTTCTTTTACATAATTACCACATTTTATCTTCACCTGTACTTGTCAAGACATGTTACATGTCTATTATCTTGAGGGATGTGCTCCTTTGCCTTTGTGTGCAAGCGACTCTGAAGGGCCCTTGTAGCCCAACAATGGATCTAGAAATGCTGAGGGCTGGTAAAACCTTCTCTCAGCCTCAGTGAGCAAGACAATAGCATGCACTTGAGCAATGAGTGCCAGCAAGCTGCCTACCAAAATGATTCACATGGACCCAGTTGCATCTCAGTGCTCAACAGTCTAGCAGCATCCCCCACAAGCCGTTCCTCAGGTGAGATCAATGAGGAAGCAGAAGAAGCCACTGGACATGAGGTTCAGTCTTTCTCACTGCCACACTCCTAGCCCTCTTCCCTCAAGTGCTACCTTCTCTAAAGTAGAAGGTTAAATAATCCAATGAGACTGAGATTTCCAAACTGGACTAAATGCATTTTTTTTTTTTTTAAATTTCTGAATCCAAATGGGTTTGGGGTTGTGCGGAACCAGTACAGTTAAAGAGAAATAAATCACATTTTCTTTGTAAAATGAAATGTAGTCTTAATAAACGTTGGCCTCTATCCAGAAGGAAATTTAAAAAGAAGGAAGGGTGTCAGGAAGCAGGGAGAGGAGAAAGAGACAGAGAGAAGCTAACAGCGTTGGTTTAATGTTCTGCTGATGCTGTTTGGAAATTCTTAATAATTTTGAATCTCCACCTCAAGTTTAGGCAAATGTGAAAAAGTGGGGACCAAATATCCAGGCATCTGATCCCCTCACTCTTCCTCTGTTTACTATCTTTCTATAATCCCTCAACTCTTATCCACTTTCTTAATGCCATATACTCCCCCTCACTCTTCTGTGCATATTTCAATCTTTCAAGCCTAGTCCGCTAGGTCTACCTCCTGATTAGTAAATAAAGAAGATAAAGGAATTGAGGAAGTTATTTTCTCTCCGAACAATGGTTTTGACTTTCAAGGTCTACCTTCTTGCTGTATCAAAAGAACAAAAATTCTATTTCGAATATCAGAGGCTAAGGTTACCTTCTTTACCTTTACCTTCCTGCTATAATGATCCTATTAATTCCTGAGCATTGGCCTTTTGACATTCCCTATCCTTGGAAGACAGATGGCTTGGGTGCGTTAAAGAAAAAGTCATGCTCTTAGAAATATAGAATGGAATAATTGACTTTTCATACTTTCGCCACTCCTTCAAATGTTCAAGAACATTCTTTCTCAGTGAACAGGACCAGCTTCCCAGGTATGTGACCTGGGCAGTCACCTGGGACCCCACACTCAGAAGGCCCCCATGCTTGGTTTAAACTGCTGCTATCATTGTCTTGAAATTCTTAATAATTTTGGAACAAAGTGCTCTGCAAATCATGTAGCTGGTCCTGCCTGTGACTCCGGGTCTTTAGAAAGAGCATTCCATCATTAAAAACCCAAAGGTGTTTAGTATAATCCACCATTGCTAAAAGTGGCGTGAGTCTTCTTTGCCATATTAACTGAGAGATTTTTAATTCTCCATTTGTATTTCCTGGTTTTCCATTTGCAACCTTTCAGGCACTGGTAAAAACTTTCTGTGTCATAGTAAGATTTGTTAACATGAAAACAAATCTCAAGTTTAGGACAAAAAACAAATGGGATCAGGGCCCTCAGTAGCAGCAAACACCGGACTATGCTCATGTACTCCTTCCTGCCACGACCCTGATGCCACATCACAGAGGAAAGCTGGGAAGAAAGCCTTGTGTATCCACCTGCCCACCCATCCCACCTGCCCGAGAGGGCAGAGGCCACAGAGGGCTGCCCCTCCACGGTCCTGGCAGCACCAGTTTAGAAAGCCCATGGGACTGGTGTCACAGGAAAAATAAATGTGTTTCTTTTTAATCCCAAATTACATGTGCAGGACATTTCCCCCAGTAGCCATGTGACTGATAACCTGCGTAAACTGCAGCATCTTGTATCAGCCTAGTTAACAGCATGTAAGACAATATATATTTCAATATGAAAAGCACAAGTTTTAATGCACACGCACAGGAACTTGCTTACCATCCAGTAAAGTTTCACAACATACTTTCCATAACTATTGAACAGAGGCATGTGGCCCTTTACAGCCTTGCACAGAGAATATATGTGTTCCCAGGGCTTCCAGATGAGAAGGGGGGGCTCCCCTACAGTCCCTTTAAAATAATTGCTCAACACGCCAGCGTTGAAGATCTTCCACACAGCATAGATTTCACTGATAATCCATCGCATCAGCTAGAGACAAAAACCGTCAGTGTTAACCAGTCATTCTTCAGGTGTCGGCACTGTAGGGGGAAAACCAGTCAAAAATCTACTTCCAACAGCAATATTAGCTTCTATGTGTAATGTATTCCACACTTTGATTTCTGACTTATAGAATAAAATCACAGGTCTTGCTTTTGTTTTCAGGACATACAGTCAGAATACAAGCTAAAAGGTCTAATATTAAACAGACTCTTAGCTAAGAGCTGCCTCCCAGAGCCCACTGTCGGCGAGCAGACCTCCGTTTGAGCTCTGTGTGAGCGTGTGGGAGGGTGAGAGGGACACTGAGTGCTCCTGAGAGCAATGACGATTTTATTTTGAAATTAACTCTCTATAACTGAGCGAGCTGCTCTTCTACAAATGTTGAGAAGTTTGAGAAGGAAATGATCTCTTTGATTTTATAGGAAATTAGACAAGAAACGAGACGTGAAAAAATTAAAATTCCACACACACTTAAATATACTCTGTCTCGTATTTCCTGTGTTCATCTGTAGGTGCAGAAATGCTCCACGGAAAAGGCCCACTTGCAGTGTTTTTAACAGGTGGTGAGGCACTGCGGAGGGCTGAGACTCTGAGTAGAAAAAGACCAGGATTTCAATCTTTGTTCAGATCCTTCTGCTCTTGGGCAAGTCACTTTAGCCTCTCTAAGTCGCAGTTTTTCACCTGTTAAATGTAGGTTATACTAGCTATTTTTCAGCATTTTTGTGAGGAATAGAAGTGATGTGTAAGAAATCTCTAGGTCACAGTGCTGTTAAGTAAAGCCATTATTAGCCTCAGGAGTACCGGATTCTCTCAAATATTCATCTCATGTTTTACTGCCTGGCTTGTAAGGAGATTAAATACTTGAGACTGACCTCATAAGATTTATGTTTTTCTCAAGTTGCGTTATCTAGGAAATTTCTTAAAGTTTGGTTAAGTTGAAAACGGCAAATCAGATATCCTCCTGTATATCTGGACATTTTACTATAGAATATTTTCTACTCTTCTTCCCGTGAAAAATAGAAAGCTAATGTCTGTATATGTTTAGTATTTATAAAATAAGCATATTTTAAACTAAAAATATATCATATGAGATACTTTGGAGATAATTTTATGCTAATCAGTGGAACCTGGCTGAAGAAATAAATATTTCAATTTTAATATTGGTCAAGATATTAAAGATAAGAAAGACAAAGCATTTTGATCAGTAACGACTATGCCCCATTCCTCTGACTAGGTCTCAGGAGAAAATACTCAAAAGGCCCCTGTTTCTGCTGTAACTACCTTAGAGGAGTGGAACAGGTCTGTTTCCGATGGATAAAACCCATGCGGAGAGGTGAAGAAGTTGTGCCCCCGCAAAGCAGGACTGCTGTGCTGAAATCTGGCTTGTTTAGATGAGATGTTGCAATCAAACTACACCCCAGGATTTTCCCCACATTAGCAAACCGAACAACATCCCAACCTGTAGCTCTTGGCCACCATGTAGGGCAAGACGGGCAGGAACTTTATGTCAATTGCCAGGCACATGGGTCTGGAGGAGAAATGCCCAGACTGTGAGAACCCAGTTACCTGGGCTGGAAAATAAGGGCAGCACTAACATTTCGCACGATTTGCAAGCTAAATTCAATTAAAGGGACTTCTCTGCCCCCTTTGAATGTCTGGCATGTAAAATGCTCCGTTATACCGAAACTTAAAGGACAGCAAGGGGGGACTGAACCTGAGAGGGAATCGTCCAGGCAGGGCTGCAGGGCACCCTGCACCGAGCTTTGCTTCCTTCTTCTTTACATACCTCACTGCAGAGTAAATGCTCATTTGCTGAAAACAAGTCAAACAGGATTTCATTTTTCACAACTACGGGAACCTGAAATAAAATTTAAAAAATCAAAATAGATATTACTCCTTAGGAAAAGCAAAGGAAATGTAGCTTAATGTAATCAAGTTTCATGTGCTGTAAATAGGCCAAACCTCATTTCATTTCTCGAAACCAGAGGAATTAGAAAAAATAAAAATAAATAAATAAATAACTAAATAAATAAATAAAATAAAAATAAAAATAAAAATGGAATTAAACAAACAAAAAAATAAGCACGTTATTCCATAAGGCAATCCCGTGGGAGGTGTAGGGGACATTAATTTAATAATTTAATGCCTATAAAATGTAGCATTTTAATATACAAATAAAACACTTTAAGATATAATACACGCAGATAAACTTAGCATGCATACACACACATTTCAAAGTGATTTGAAATTTAAATGAACCACTCAAGTAAACCTGAAGCTTAGTTAACATCTGGTAGCTGGAAAAATATCTTCATCTTGGATGAAAAATATTAGCTGTGACAGCTTTTAAAATTTTGCCCAACTTTAAGTCCTGTCATTTTGTTTAAAAATTAATTTGATGGTCATCACTGAATTGGTATATATCTGAAGTTGCTTTAAATATTTAGACCAGGGAGCAATAAACATAAGAGGGGAAAATATGACTTATAATAGTTTGAAAAAAATAGTTGCATTCACATCAAGCTTATGTATTTAAGCATAACATAAAAATGGTTTTGATTAGTGAAATAGATTTTTTATAGAAACTAATGCCATATATTAGTTTCAATCATCTGTACAACTAACACCTTGAAAACTCAATACAATTTTTACGTCTGAGAAAAATTTACCTAAAGCTACCTGGAAGGCCTGAATTGACTCTTATGTTCATAATTTATAAACATAGTAAGTTTTATCTATATATTCTGGTTTGACTGATTACGATGCAACACTTCTAAAATGCTCATACCTTTCAGCAAGTACCAATGTGCGTTAAAATTTATTAATTATATATTAATTATAATTGTTAAAAAATGATCAACGAGTTATGATTAATTATAGATTAAATAGGTATTGGATACCTAAAGTTTGAAGTTAATAGGCACATGCTGATAAATGAAAAGGAGGAACTGACAGTTTGTAAAAAGCAACAAACATTAAGGCAGAGGTCTCTACAAGGGTACTTTAGCATCTCTGTCCCCTGTGCCTACACCTGGGGCAAGACAATCTTCAGACATTTTACATCTGCTCAACATAATTAACTCTCAAGCGCCTGGGCCACCAATAGCTGGTGCTCAGAAATAAGCAGATCTGAACGCTCATTCTGTGATCAGGGCTTGTTAACTCCTTGGTTGGCCGGCCCACGTTGACTCTGATGTCTTATATCCATGCTTTTAAGTTTTTTAATAACTTAGCTTCTCTCGGACTTAAATCAAGTCCTTTGACATCATCTTCTGCTTGGAGAGGTCTAGGACATGCTTCTAGGCTGGACTGTGCTTTTTAATTGTGGTTTGCAATTATGTAATGATTCATGAAATCATTTTAGTGGGTCAGGACTATATATATGGAATATAATAGAACAGAGTAAATCTCACATAGAAAGGTCATTATTATTTTTCAAAACTTTTGTCTAGACTTTATACATGTCCATATTTAATGAGTCTCAATATAAAATGTTTTTATCACTGTGGACCTAAACATTAAAACTTGAAAACCACTATTCTATGACTTTTCTACTTAGCTAGACTTTCAGTTCTGGCAATTCTGGTCCATATTCCAGAATGATGGATCAAGAGAAGGAGTCAGTGCAGAGGGAGAGTGGAGGTAGATGGATGGCAGCCTTACGACAAATGTAAGTGAAAGGATCATCAACAACAATGAATGAATTTATTTTTTAGCACAAGTGTATCTCTCAGAATTAAGGTATGCTAAAAAAACAAAAAGAAATGATTTATAAAACTTTTCTACTTATCAAATTTACAACACTCCCACTTCATGGAATTTATATCCTTTATGTGCATGGAACACAAACTCTGCACTTATATTGAGCAGTGCCTGAAAATTATTAATAACACATTAATATTTTTTGTTAGTGCCCTTGAGTCAATTCCAAATCCTAACACCCTTGCAGCAGAGTGGAACCCTGCACAGTCTTTTTGCGTCATCCTCTTCCCTTCCAATGCTCTCTCAGACAATGCTCCACTGCTATTCATAGAGTTTTCATGGCCATTTTTGGAAGTGGGTGGCCAGGTCCTTCTTCCTAGTCTGTCTTAGTCTAGAAGCTTCACTGAAACCTGTCCACCCTGGGTGACCCTGCTGGGATTTGTAATACCGCTGGCATAGCTTTCAGCATCACAGCAACATGTAGCCGCCACAGTACGAAAAGCAACAGATAGGTAGTGTGGGCCCCTGATGGGAAAGCAACCCAGGCCACGGCAGTGACACTGCCGAATCTTAACCACTAGAGCACCAGGGCTGGCTACATTAATATTAAGGGCATTATACTAACATCACAGAATTTATATTCTTCATGTCAATGTTACGTACCATTATAAGTAATTTAAAGACTTGGGTCATGTATACTTGATTTCTTTTATTTAAAATGTCTTACAAGTAGGCACTCAATAAATTCTCTGATGGACAGAGATGTATCTTCTTTTTTTTTTGTTTTGAGGAAGATTAGCCCTGAGCTAACTACTGTCAATCCTCCTCTTTTTGCTGAGGAAGCCTGGCCCTGAGCTAACATCGTGCCCATCTTCCTCTACGTTTATATGTGGGACGCCTACCACAGCATGGTGTGCCAAGCGGTGCCATGTCCGCACCCAGGATCCGAACTGGTGAAGTCTGGGCCGCCGAGAAGTGGAACGTGCAAACTTAACCGCTGCGCCACTGGGCCGGCCCCAGATGTATCTGCTTATTTTCTCATTTTAGTAAATATTTTTGAATTTAGGATTATCTGACTTTCCCAACTAGTAACAGTAATTGGAAAATACGGTGAATAAATTGTGTTTTCCTGCATTAGTAGCAGTGCTGATAAAGGCTAAAGCTTTTAGGAGCAAAAATCATTTTGTGTGGTGACAGACATTCAATGAATTCCATAACGTATGGAAGAATCAGCTTCATTACAACCATTTGACGAGCACTGAGTAACTAATTTAGCTTACTGGTTTTCTATGCATTAAATGAAAATAACAGGAGATTCAAAAAGGGAAAAAAAGCATTAGTGATAATGAAATCCTTGGAAACACCAAATATATTCAAACTAACATAGCTATTAGAAAGATAGACCAGTGGGTCTAAAGTTGTAATGTACGCTAAGTGCTATCTATAATGAAAGTTTCTTGGGCGGTGTCCCAGTCAACATGATTCAAGTGTCTGTGCATGGGGGTCCAGAAATGAAAGCGGCCCTTGGAAAATGCTTCAAGAATTCCTGGAATAGAGAGATCCAAGTGCAAGTCTCTTGGGCTGGAAAATTACTGCTAATATATACCACACAAACAAATCTTCATGCCACATAAGTTCCTGCTAAGAAGCAGAAAAGAGACAGTGTCAGCAATCAAGGAATAACTTCTCAAAACATTTTAGGCTGTAATGTGACATCACAGAGAGAAGAAGAAAACTGGAGGCTCTATGCAAAATACTCTGTTGAAAACCAGTACAAGAAATAGTCAACTGTACTGACATACATTTATTTCTACACTAAATGCCAAAAAGCAATTACTTTTTCTTACCAAATACCACAGGAAAAAAAATTACCCTAAATTGTTTTAATAATGAAAGATTTAATAACTAGGATATTATATCCCATAGCTAATATGCATTTTGTTTAATAGTAAAACTATTTCTTACCCGATTAATTAAAAAATCCTGTGGACGTTTCCAGGAATAAATTTTCAGTGATGGTGGTAATTCAATCTTTCCTTCAGGATCTTCAAAAAAATGCTATATAAAAAAAATTGAATTTTTTATCCATATGGTTTTATTAAAATAAAAATAACTGAATCCTAATAAAAATTAATAAGTGCATAGAATTGATCAACAAATAAGCATTTATAGAGCAATTTGCATGTTTGTTTTCAGAGTTAATTCATGGAGTTCTTGGAGAATACTGAAGTTATTACATGAATTAGGTATTGTGGGAAAACAATTTTGGATGGGCCAGATATGGCCATATTTTCCACTGAAAATATTGGGGTTTTTTACCTGAATACAGAAGATTCAAAAGTATTTACTTGATTTTCAGCTGTTAGAATCACAAAAAGGATTATACGTAAATGAAATTTTTACCTTTGTTCTGACTTTCTTTTATTAATTGTTTCAATTAAACCTGTTCTTTTGAGATAATTATAGATTCACATGCCATTGTATAGATAGAATCATATAGTATGTAACCTTTTGGATTGGCTTTTTTCCCCCTCTCTGCCTAATTCCCTGGAGATTCAATTCATTCAGGTTGTTGCATGCTCCAATAGTTTGCTCTTGTTTATTGCTGAGTAATATTTCATGATATGCATACTTGTTTGTTTACCATTTGTCTATTGAAGGACACCTGGGCTGCTTTCAGTTTGAGTCTATTACTAATAAAGCTGAAATGAACATTTGTGTACAGATGACAGGTTTTTGTGTCAACCTGTTTCCATTTCTCTGAGATAAATGTCCAAGAATGCAATTAGTTCATTAATTTTTGAGCCCCTAGTGTGGGTCAGATCTGGAGAAAGAATTATGCTCAAATGTCTACTCTCAAATGCCAGCAACCTAGGAAGTTTGAGAGACCTCAGGTAGCTACTATGTAGAAGTTCTCATAGCTCATAAGGGGTGTGTGTGGGTGTGTGTGCACGTGCATGCACACGTGGGGCAGTGGTGGATTCTTACAAGAAATAACAGGAAAAGTCCTAGGAATACCAAAAATGCTCAAAGAATGTAAACTATCTGTATGGAAAAAAAGGGTAACTAAATTTCACCTGATATAATGGGGACGGGGCAAATAAATACTGCTTTGTGATTTTCATGGTAATCGTATTTTTACGCTAATGCTAGCATGGCCTGAGAAATGGGTATATTTGAGGGCAGTCACAGCTTTAAAAATAGTCAGTGTCTATGAGTATCTGGAGAATCTGTCTTTTTGTCTCATTTAAGATACTGGAATAATTTGAGTGAAGACAAAGGCAACCCCAACATCTAGTCAAAATGCCCAAAGAATGGTTCTTGAAAAATAGACTGAGCTCTCCAGGAGCTGTACTAGACTTCTGGGGTTCCCTCACATTGTTTTCCTTGCAAATATTAACTTAGTTATTTTAAAGTCCCCTATCTGACCATACCAAAATCAGAGTCACCTGTGGATCTGTTTCTGCTATCTGATTTTTCCCCTTGGCTTTCAGTTGTGTGGTTCAGCTTCTCTTCATGTCTGTTCAATTTTGATTGTATGATCTATACTGGATACATAAATTTATAAGGCTCTAAATAATGACGTCCCCCCCCGCCAGACAGGAGCACTTCACTCCCTTGCTGCAGGCAGAGCACAAGACGAACTCGACCCAGTCAACACTGAGTCTCAGGCTTTGACAGGGCTGGTATAATTTTGGTTTGCCCTTACTCAATGCAGAATGCTATAGCCATGTTGGGGAACTAACTGAGAGGCTGCAGTGTTTATCAGGGTCCCTTCACCTTAGTGTACCCTGAATTCCACTCTCTCACCATAGCATCATGACATCTTTTCTCAGTTATTTAGCCTCCACGCTGCCGCTTTTTACTCATTTGCTGGCAGCAAAAGCTTTATACACACAGCTTAGGAGTTGGGGGTCTTGAAATAAAATTATATGCAAAATTTTCAGATCACTTCTGTGTATTTTGGTTCAAGCTCTGACTACTTTGGCAGCACCAGACAGCATCCTCTCTCCCTCAGCCCAGAGAAACTGACACAAGCCCCAGGCCACTACCTTCTTCTTGCCCTCTAATTTCCACGCCTTGAGTTAATAAATGTCCCTGAGAAAAAATAAATAAACAAGGTGGATGTGGGGTTCATCCTGGTGTAATTCCCTTTTCTCCAGGATTTGAGACCCTCACATTAAGTTAATGGTAATCTTTCCATGTCATTTTGCTTTAGGTACATTTCTTATATCCACCTAACAGTACTTCATCATATACTCTCAGTTTGTTCACCCATCATATACTTTCATTGTCGCCACTTAACTGAAGAAGTGAGACCTGCCTCTGGACTTAGGGGGAAGGGTTAGCTCATCTGAGGCTGATTTCCTGATCAGTGGCCTCGCATTTAAAGAAGCAGCCTTCTCTAATTCCAAGGAAACCTGGCGTAGTTCGATGCTTAAGGCAACTAATCCTGGTAAAATATGGATGTTGCAAATCACGGCTAAGAGCTCCTGTGCCACCATATCACAGAAATGTAATCACAAGGCTTGGAGCAGAGGGCCTGTGGCTTCCCGAGCCAAGAATGCTGACGTTGTGGAACAGAACTGGGGGAGGGGAGCAAGATTCCATCCTAGACGGTATCACTTTGCACTGTTGTAATAACCAGGGTTTGAGCTTGTGCTCTCCTGCCCCGTGAAAGCTGTGATGGCAGAATGGGGCGTTGGCTAAGGTTCTGCAGCGTCACATTCTCTTGGAACAGCTCCTATTCACCTCAGGAGTGGGGCTGTTGCTTTCTTAATCATGAAGTTTGATACAGTTCCTTAGTCCAAGGGCTGCAGTATCTATTTTGGGGTCTGATGTTTAGCCAGCAATATTCCTATATGTTGCCCCCAAATGAAATGGGCATCAGGTGACCAGCACATTTGTTTCTGCTCCTGTCTTAATGGTTTTCCTACTGTAAATGTTCTTCCAACAGACTTCCCCTTGTTTTCATAACACTGTTAGAGGAGGTCATTGAGAGGACATGACCACCAGTTGACCCTCGAACTGGACACAGGCAATCAGAGGCTTCTCACCCCTCCCCTGTCCTTGGAATGTACGTTCTGCCCACTGTTCTTGCACTAGGAGCCACTTCAAGTATGCAACCTTGAGAGAGTAATGTCTTATTGAGACCATCTGGACTGTGTCTGTGACTGAACCCCATTAAGGCCTCTACGTAAACTCATAAGATTCTCATGGGGAGGCGCAGAGATTTCGTCTTGCGGCCGCCCAAGACAAGCCTCATGCGGAAATTCCCTTGCTTATTAAACCTGCCACCTACCAATCTGGAGTGGTCTGCCTCTTGCTTCCGTCTTACATTGCCCTCTATCTATGGGGGCCAGTTTTGAATTTCACCCCAGGAATTCCTGAGTTTGCAAATCAACAAACACTGATAAGTCCCAGGATTTGATACCCACCTTTCTGGAGATCTGCAAGAAGTGTTTCTTTATTTTTATTCTTTTAAGGAAGATTAGCCCTGAGCTAACATCTGCTGCCAATCCTTCTCTTTTTGCTGAGGAAGACTGGCCCTGAGCTCACATCTGTGCCCATCTTCCTCTACTTTATATGTGGGACGCCTGCTGCAGCATAGCTTGCCAAGCGGTGCCACGTCTGCACCCGGGATCCAAACCAGCAAACACCGGGCTGCCGAAGCAGAATGTGCAAACTTAACCACTGTGCCAAAGAGCTGTCCCACTGCAAGAAGTTTTCATAGTCATCCAATAAAGGCACGTTTGCACTCTAGGGCTCCTAAAACGTTATGTTGTATACCCTATTTCCTATTTCAAAGTTTTCAGGCACTTCTGCTCTTCTCTGTAGTTTCTTCACACTTTGGAGTGACTCATCTCTACACCCTTTCCAGAGGCCAACTGCTCAATAGAGAGTTTGCACAATCTGTCTTCCTAACGTAAATTCACACACAATCCCCATAAGTTTTGAATTGCTGTTAAAATATGTAGAATATGACCATTTTCACTTGAACCCAGAGAGCTCGAAATCCTTTTGCATAAAAAAGTTCCACAATAACTCTAGGCACAGTACAGAGAATGCCTTCCCTCGCACACTGCTCATCTGAAATTGTTCAAGTACTAACAGAGAAGCAATTAGTTAAATTTATCGAATATCTCTTATAAACTAATTACTGGCATGGATCATGCAGCTTGTGATTCCGTATTTTGTAAACAAGTACAAATTTCAGAAGTACCATTTCAGAGTGCTTTTTCAATTAAAGACACAAGAGAGCAACCTAACCATCCTGGAAATTTTGTTTGTGCTTTAAAATTGTATTGTGTTCTGGGGGCCAGCCCACTGGCACAGCAAAGTTCGCATCTTCTGCTTCAGCGGCCCAGGGTTCGCCAGTTTGGATCCCGGGTGCAGACCTATTCACAGCTTGTCAAGCCATGCTGTGGTAAGTGTCCCACATATAAAGTGGAGGAAGACGTGCACGGATGTGAGCTCAGGGCCAGTTTTCCTCAGTAAAAAGAGGAGAATTGGCAGTGGACATTAGCTCAGGGCTAATATTCCAAAAAAAATAAGTAAATAAATGAATAAAAATAAAATTGTATTGTGTTCTATAAATATTTTTGTTTAATGAATTGCTGCACCAGTAAGTAGGTCATATTTTAAATGCAACCCAGACTCATATCCTCAACAAAGAACTTTTTAGAAATAGAGTAACTATTTTTAAATAGGCAAAAGAACCTAAAATAATACAACTGGAAAATGTAGGTATCCCATTCTCAGCTTCAATCTCAAGGCCACATCATGTTTAAATGGCTGCAGGTAAATGAAAGGTAACTGAGATCTTTACCTAAGCGTCTTGGGAGGGGAATTAGGAGGGATTCAATATTTATCTCACAGTAACATATCTTTTAAAAAATCATCTTTCCTATAATCACCACCGTCTCTAAATGCTTGGTTCCCAACTCTGCCCCAAACCACTAGCTAACCTGTCCTATCAATGTGCCATTTATTTAGTTATGACTCTTTCGTCATCTCTCGCCTCCCGTTTACTCAAATGTGATTCACCAAATCTCAGGGCTAAGGCTTGGAAAGACAAGGGAGGATGTGCGAGGCCAGAAAGATGAAATTTCTGTCTTGGATGGAGATTGTGGAGAAGAATTAGCACGTTCACATGTAACAAATCTTATTCCATTATAAAACTAAGAACCAAAACGAAATCCAGTCACATTCAGGTCGACTTACAAATATGGGGCTTTTCCCCATTTTGTCCTTTTCTTTTCCACCTTTGCCTGCGTCCCACTTTTCTGCGTTTATGTCAGCTTCACTCCATTCTGGCCAGATTGGGAATTTCCCCTTCTTCTGTTCGACGGAACTAGACTGCGCATTGCTGCCCAAAGTGTACTGACTAGAGACAGAGAGGGAAGGTGGGTTAGCATTAATTCAAATCTCTGAGCAAAAATATTGCATTAATACCAATTAATCCAAGGTTTAATTAGCTTGTCAGCAGTTACGTTAAATACATTTTTCAATACAGTAATACCTGTGGCCAGACAGCTTCCACGTGTTAGGGTTCTAAAGACTGAAATACCCCAAAAAGACTATCCCGTTAACAAATTTTGAGAATTAGTGTCTACTTACTAATGCAGGACATCCGTCATAAACGTATAAGATGCCATAAAGGGGAATACTTACATACAATTCACACTTAAAAATCCTTTCCACGTTTAATAGTAAAAGCATTTTGAAGATCAGTAGAAATATAATTTTGATTTTTCCCAGTATAAAAGTGCTCTGTGATCATTATTTTAAAAGTGAATTTAAATGTACAAATCAGATGAATAAGAAAGGCAAATCCACTTCATTCTAGAAGCCACTTTGTTAACAACTATCCATCCTCTCAGACTAATATACAAGGATATACATCTTTTCTTCAAAAATGACATCATTCAGCAGATTTTCTTTTATAGACTCTTTTTGCCACTTATCAGTATATTGTTAATAGTTTCCATGTCAATAAGTGCCAGGAGCCGTCAGCCTATAAGTTAAGCCTCTGCCTTGTGACACGGTCCGGGAGAGAGATGAGGGGACGCACGGCGACCCTCAAGGGAATCTACCAGGCTGCCCCTGCAACGAGTCTCCCTGGTACTTCTGACTTTTCTGCTTTTGCTCACTCTGTTCTGCACCTGGGGTTATTTCAGGGGAAGTCAGCCCGGCCCTGGGAATGAGAATGATACAATGCAATATTTTAGGGAAAGTTCTAGGGAACAACATCTTCTAGGGAAAGAACGTTCTGATTCGTCCCTGGTAAAGAGAAATGGGCCGTGGCCCATTGAGTCAGGAGGCCGCTGGGGGTGGCCTCCTCGAAGTAAAGGATTGCAGAAGGTTGACTTCTCCCAGGGCTACACACAATCCAGATACAATTGACTATTGTTCACCTTGCAAAAAACCACTTATGTGAGCCAAAAATATGTACTGGGACTGTTTCATGAAATCATCCTTGCATATCCTGAGCCCTATATAAATCATACATACACAAAATAAAGTTAGCCTTGGACTTGGACACCAAGCTCCTTGTCTCACTGCCTCCTCCTTCGCCAACGCCATCCATCCCTCAGGAGACCCTGTTCATGCTGGGGCTGGACCCCGGCAAATAAGTATTCATCTAAATAAGAATTTAATGATTGCATAATATTCTATTGTATGAATATACTGCCTTTTGTTTAACTAAGGTTCTATATTTGGAAATTTGAGAGTTTTGATTTTAAAAATTTTTCACTATTATAAAAAAGACTGTGATGGCTATCCACGTTGCAAACTTTTGAAGATACTATTAATTATTTCCCTAGGATAGATTTTATTAAGGAGATTTACTGTACCAAAATACATGCATATTTAAAGTTTGTGATATATTTTGACTAATTTTCTAGAGAAAAGGTAGACTTCTTAAGTGAGCTCATCATTAGTATACTACGTGTGAGGCTAGAACCCTGCTCTAGACCCTGGGAGAAGCAGTGAACCAACCAGACTAAAATCTCTACCCTTATAGCGTTCATACTATAGCAGGCAGGCACAGAAAACAGCAGCATAAATTAAATAAAATATATAGTATACTAGAAAGTGCAAATGCTAAGGGGAAATACAAACCAGGGAAGGGGAACTGAGGAGTTAAGGTTTACAATTTTTCATACATTAGTTCAAGAAAGTGCCTATAATAGAGTAATATTGAAGTAAATAGTGAAAGAAAATAAAGGATTAACCTATGTGGAAATCTGTGGAAGGAATGTTCCAGATGACGGAAACAGCAAGGACAAACAGCAAGGAAGAGTATTCCAGATGTGAAGAGCATCCTGGCCTATTTGAAGAATAAGGAGGTCAGTGTGGCTGAAGCTGAGTGAGTGAAGAGGGAGGTAAAAGGAGCAGATTTCAGAGGTAACAGGAGACGCAAAGAGAGTCATCTGAACCAAGAGGAGGACATTGGTTTCTAGTCTGAATGAGACGGGAAGCCAAAGGAGGGTTCGAGCAGAGGTGTAACGTGGCACGACTAACATTTTATAACCGCTCTTGCTGCTGTGTTGAGAAAAGACTAAGGAAGCAAGAGAGACCATTTAGAAGACTTTGGAATAACAAGTAAGAGCTGATGGTGGTTTGGTAACAACAGAGGAGGCAAGAAATGATCCCCTCGTATATGTTTAAGGTAGAGGAAGTAGACTGAGTGGTTATTTCCTGATAGACAGGAGACTGGGGGATGGGGCAAAATTGAGGCAGGGAATAAAGCAGCATTTCACTTTTGGATGAGTTGTGTTTTAGATGTTTATCACATATCCATGGAAATACTGATAGGTAGGTAGATGTAGGATTCTGAAATCTGGGAGAAAGAATCAGACTAAAAGTGAAAATTGAGAGTCACCAGCATTTAGATGATATATAAAGTATAAAAACTAGATGAAATCTCAAAGAAAATTTAGATGATATTTAAAGTCTAAAAACTGGATGAAATCTCAAAGAAAATGACTATCTTAAGGAAGAGGCATTCGCAGGAATGTTATTCAAAACGCCTAGCAACCGGTAAGGAATGAGCATTGACCAATCTAAGGAGATGCTGGCTTCAACGCTGGGTCAGTGTCTTCAAGGCCACCAGCTCTGCCAGACATTTATTCTTTACTTTAAGTAGTGGGGTCAGGGATGTAAGGTCCTCAGGATGGGTCAGGGATCCAGGACAGGAAGCAGAAATATCTTATTGATAAGGTGATTGTTAAGGCTATTTACCAATCAATATAAAAATATTTCAATATTATAATAATCAATACAGCTGTATATTTGCTCTGGTACTCTCTCTCATATCAGAGAGAGAGAAGAAAGAAAACTAAGAAAAGCAGTCAGTGATTGTGGTAGACAGAATAACGGTCCCTCAAATATATCCACATCCTAATCCCCAAGACCAGTGGGTAGGTTACCTTCTATGGCAAAAGAGAGTTCTTAGATATCTTTAGGTATCTTGAGATAGAGAGATTATCCTGGACTATCTGGCTGGGCCCAATGTAATCCCAAGGGTCCTCAAAATTAGCAGGAGACAGAAGAAGTCAGAGGGTCCTTTTGAATACGGAGGAAGAAGGCCGAGGAATGTGGGCAGCTTCTAGAAGCTGGAAAAGGCCGTAAAATGGCTTCTCTGCTCCAGCCTCCTAAAGGAAGGCAGCCCGGCCGACACTTTGATGTTAGCTCAGTGAGACTCATTTTGGACTTCTGACCTCCAGAATTACAAAATAATAAATTTGCACTGTTTTAAGCCACAAATTTGTGACATTTTGTTACAGCAGCAATAAGAAGCAGTGAGGTAGGAAAGACACAGCAAAGGCTGACGCCTTGGAAGCCAAATAAAGCAATTTTTTAAAAAATGAGAGAATGAGCAACAGATCCAAGCGCTTCCGATAGATCAAATAAGAGGAAGCATAAACAAATAAAGGCTGAACTTAGCAACAAGAAGGGTAAGTTCTCTCGAAAATTTCCGCCTTCTGGGGGCAGACGTGGGAGTGACTTCCCTGAACAGCCTATCTCATTAGCAACTCTCTTCATCCTTTAGATTGTTTCATTCTTATAGCACTTGACATTCTCTCACTAACCCTTTACTCATGCGCTTACTGTGTGTTTCCACAGGTAGGGCTTGTAAGTTTCACAGTGGTGGGAATATCCGGTTTTTGTTCATACCCTCCATCTCCAGCAATTAGAACAGTGCCTGGACAATGCAGGCAATCTCTCTGTCCTTCTGTCATCTATTTCCATGAAATAAAAGAATGAATGTCTTTATTTTATATTTTTATCATTCCTAATTAGAACAGTTTCAAATTTTTATATTGGGGTAGAGATTGACCACATGCTCAGCAATCTTGTTTTCCATTTCCCACATTTCCCATACTCCTTTGCAGTTTGGCTGGTAATTTGTGATGGTGTTTTGGACAATAGCATGTGAGGAGATGTGTTGTAGCCCACCTTTAGGCTCATGGAACATTCCGTGAGACACTTCTCACTCTCTTCCTCCTTGATGCATGGCTCAGTCCTATGAGGAGAACTTTGAAAGTGGTAATAGTACAAGATGGAAGGAGCTGGGGAAGGTAGCACATGGAAAGCCACCACTAAACTCCGGATCAGACTCTGGTTTGAATGGGGACCATCCTTTGCTGTAAGTCACTGAGATTTGGGGGTTGTGGGATATTGTAGCCAGCATCAATGATTTCCCACTTGCTACTTTGTTACTGTAGCTAGTGTTGATTATTAGCATTGACTGATACGAAGGGTATAATTCTTTTCTCAGGATTTGGATTTCTTCTTTTATATCTTTAATAGTTATATACATGGTAAATTACTTACAGACTATTTTTCTATTATCTTAAATCTGTGACACTTCATTCTCTTGTTTGTTGTGACCTCTGCCTATCTTTTGCTTATTATGTTTTAGGATGCTTTTACTATGAGCTCATCCTTTTCAGGGTTTTCTTTCCCTCCAATCCCCTTCCCCTAAGGCAATCCTGTGTTGAAAGAATGTGCTTTCATTGTAATATTGCTTTCTTCTTTCAGAGACCCCAAAAGAATAAGCTATCCAGGAACCCATAGATTTTTTAAAATCAGATCTCAAACTTATGTACGTCTCAGTTGAACAGTTTCCATTTCTCAAGTGAGATTTTTTTTTCAGCCAGATACCAGGCAGAGAAAATGTAGCTTTCTTTTGACCTCTCTGTGCTTGGGTGGATTTTCTCATTCACCATTTTTAAAAGAATTAAACTCTTGGAAAGCCATGTCTTTATCTAAGGTTGGAGGACCGCCTTTCCTCATTTGGGCTGAAGACTGTCCTCTATATGATAAAAGAAAGGATTCCAAATTCATGAGACTGGAAAGCCTTCCCTAGAGAAGCAGCAGCTTCAGCTTAGAGCCACGACACTCTGACCATCAGTTCCCTCTTCATTTCTGGATCCTGACGATTTTCAGTTCTTTATGTAGGCATTTCTGGGTATTATTATTACTTTTTAAATATTAATCCACCATCTTGCTGAAAAAGAAATCCTGAGAATATACACATTGTAAAGGAGTGTTCCTAAGCATCATATGAGAAAATATAAGAGAGAAGGAAGACTAGAATAGTTTTCAGGGAAAAAGGGAACTTTTTCATAACATTAATAGAAAAATCAAGGCATAAAATAGAACGTTATAGTATTCTGTTTTATTGAGTGTTGGTACAACCCTACATATAAAAAAGAAATTAGTGATTTTGTATCCTTCCAAATCATGATAAAATTACCTCATTCAGAAGCTCAAAATCTTAAAGGCTATTTTTGTAAAAGGAAGATCTAATTTCTTTAAAAAAATAAGAGCTCTACTGAGATTCTGTTTTGCTTTCCTCTGCCTTCTGTCAAGTGGAAGTAAATGTTCTGGCTCCCTGCCTTAAGCTGTTAAGCTTTATCACTAATTGGCCTACTTTCCTTATGACATGTCAAGTTTGTTTTCATCTCTATTGAAGATCACTTAAAAAGGCTCATTAGAGGTATGGTATACCAGCCCAATAGCTCACCTACAGCGCTACACACACAATGTAAACAATGCTTAAATACGCCAATGTCGCATATCCTGCAGATTTCAAATGATCATATACAAATGTTGCTTCTGAAACTCTCATCACAGAACGCCTTTGAAGTTCACTGCCAGAATGTATCTACTGCTCTGGCATAGTTGGGACCTTTTTAATATTCAAAGCACATTATTCCTGGTCTTATCAGTTCTGAGAACAATGTAATCTATAACACAAAAGAAACTCAGGACTTTTGAAGACTTAGGAACCAGTAATACTGGGAAATAATGTTGCCAAAATTTAGAAAATTCAAACATGCAAAGAAATCAAACCTATCACACTGAAAAATTAGGGGTATACACAGAGGTATATTATTCACATAGCAATATAGCCAAGTAGTAGTAAATGATTTAACTAATTAAAATTGGAAATGGTGTAAAAGATTTCAAAGATAAATACGTTCTCTAAGAATATGGCTAAATGCTCTCTTCCCACAAAGTGAGCCTAAACATTCCATTGAGATAGGAGGAGTGTCACTGTCCCTTTTAGGAAAGGCTAGAAATCTGTATACAAAACATATTTGTGGAAATTTATGATTTTTTAAAAAGTTAATAAAGTCAGTGGGGAATGTTTATAATATAAAACCTGTATATTCCAATGCCAAGTGATATTTCGAAGGAAACTAATGTTTGGAGGGTGGAAAAATTTCAGATAGCCGGGCATGAGGCTGATTTCCAGAGCAGAAATGTAAAATAGGAAGGTGCTCCTGGGGAAAAGAGAGGAAGCACAAAGCAAGTAAATTTATAACAGCAGGCCAAGTCAGACAGAGTAGTCGCACATGAGAAGGCTCTATTAAGTAAGCAACAGACACAAATGTGTTGATAATTATTATATGTATATTATACATATAATATATATATAATGTATGTGTATTCACGATTGAAGTAAATTGATCATGATCGAAAGCCACTGAAAAATGTGAATGGGTGGCGGCCAGAGGTGGGGTGGGGGGTGGACAAAGTGAGTGAAGGTATCCAAAGTTGCAGACTTCCAGTTCTAAAATAAATAAGTCCTAGGGATGTAACATACAGCACGTGGCTATAGTTAATAATACTGTATTGGATTCGAAAAGTGTTAAGAGAATAGATCTTAAATGTTCTCATCACAAGAAAAAAAATTTGTAACTATGTATGGTGATGGATGTTAACTGGACTTATTGTGATCATTTCACAATATATACAAATAGCAAATCATTGCTTCCCACCTGAAACTAATAATATATCAATTATATTTCAGTAAAAATAAAAAAGTCAGTGGACTCATTACAGAATGAAGCTGTACGGTGAATCAGAGGCTGAAACAGTGTCTTCCACAAGTAGGTATTGGAAATTGGATTTGAGCAGTGGCAGTCCAAGCTTAACAGTCTATAAGTCTATTTGTAAAAGAAGTTGAATTTACCCTGTGTATTTCAGGAGGCTAGAAATAGGCTTTCTGAATGAGCAAGTGGCTAGAGTTACTCATGAGCTCCTGGCTTTGAATCAAGGCTGATATAACTCCCCCTACAGTTTATGGTATAACAGGCGATGTGTCACTTTCCTGCGGTTCCCTGAGGACGCAGACAGTCTGGCCAAAAGAGAAAAGATGAGGACTGGGGGGCCTCTATCACCATGCAGGCGGTATCAGGAAAAGCACTTCCCACATGGGAGGAAAGCTTCCAACCTCCAACGCTGAGACGTGGGTGGGGGCAAGGGTAATATAAAATATTTCAAAATTCTTATGGCAAACATGCCCACTAATTAGACAGGACTCTGCTCTTGTATTGGAACAGAGGGCTAGAGGCCCCCTGCTGGTCCGTTGACCATTTAGTATCTCAATTGTGGATAGGTCCTGGGGTTCTCAGAGAGACACCAGAGTTCAAGGAGAGAGAAACATTCTTTAGGGAGCTCAAAAAAACAGCTATTTACAAACCGATAAGGAAATAGTTCAATATCATAACAACTATCCTGTCCTTTACAATAGTGCATCCCAATTGGATCAGCAAACGGTAGGGCGGAATCATCCTGGAAAGCCATCCAAACCACATGGCAGAGAACAATATGCGTGAGTTTAAAATGTTTACAAAAGATGAAATAAAAAACTGACATTATAAAGCAAAAGAAAAAACTTCAAACTATGGAGGACAGTCAGTAAGTATACAAAAAGAAAGAAATCACATCCAAGGAAAGAGAAATAAGGTAACAAACTTAAAAGGGAAATGAGTATGTTTAGAATTACCAAAAAGATAAAGGAGGGAAAAGTTCTGTTTTGCAATTAGAACAGGAAGATATTAAACAAACAAAAAATAAGACCAAATGAATAAAGTGACATTGGAAAATTCTGGTAGTGAAAAATTCAGATGTTGAAAAAGTAGATTAAATAAAGCTGAAAGGAGAAGAGGACTAGTGATTTAGAAGGTAGCATTTTATTTTATTTTATTTTATGGAGGAAGATTAGCCCTGAGCTAACTGCTGCCAATCCTCCTCTTTTTGCTGAGGAAGGCTGGCCCTGAGCTCACATCCGTGCCCATCTTCCTCTACTTTACGTGTGGGACGCCTACCACAGCATGGCTTGCCAAGCAGTGCCACGTCCACACCCAGGATCTGAACAGGTGAATCCCTGTTGTTGTTGGAATGTGCGCACATAACCGCTGCGCCACTGGGCCGGCCCCCAGAAGGTAGCATTTTAAAATCAAGTGTTTTCACAGATAGACAAAGAGATGGAAAATGTGAAATAGACAAGTGGATAGATTGAAAAACCCAGAACTATGCCTAATAGAAGTCTGAGAAGGATAAAATTGTCAAAATGGGAGGAGTGGGGTTTGGGGAGAATTATTTGAAGATAGGACTGCTGAAAATGTTCAGAAATGATGAAAGACATGTCTTCAGATTGGAAAAAGCTCATGAAGCCATACAAAGGATAAATGGGAGGCCAGGGGAAAGAAACCTGCATCTAGATATATCAGATGTAATTGTAGATTAATTATGAAGATAAAAATCTATCTATGAAAAGAAATGAGAAATTATCTGGAAATAAAAAATTGTCACTCAAATTGACAGCAGTTGTAGACACCAGAAAGCAATGAAGTGGCATCTTCACAGCTCAGGTAAAATAAACGTCAATCTTGAAATCAAGACCCAATTAAACTCTTATTCAAAGTGAAATAGAAACATTTATCCTAAATTAAATGAAAACATTTTAACACTGTGAGTTTACTGTAACAGATTCCCTTGAAAAAGAAAAAAAAATTACTGAAGGATTTCTCTCAGAAAGACTGGAAATGAACCAGAATGAAACCGTAGGCTACAAGCAGAGATGGTCAACAAATGAGTAAAATTATAAAAATATTTCCCGTGAACCAATAATGATAATAACTTTGTGCTTTTAGAAGTTATCAAAAATAGAAGAGATTTATTTTTTCCTTTCCTTCAGAAGGGGATTCTGAAGGACACTAGTGTGCCTGTATTTTCTTTAGGAATAAGACTGAGTAATTGTACACTTTGTAGAAAAGTATTTAAAGATAAGTACATATTTTTAAAAATTAAGGATTGTCTTAGTCACTTTGGGCTATAACAAAGTACTATAGACTAGGTGGTTTATAAACAACGGAAATTTATTTCTCACAGTTCCGGAGGCCAGAAGTCCTGCAGTGGGGCGCCAGCGTGGTCAGGTTCTGGTGAGGGCCCTCTCTGGGTGATGGCCAACTTCTCAGTGTGTCTTCATATGGGAAGAGAGCTGACTAGCTCTCTGCTCTCTTCTTATAAGGGCACCAATTCCATTCATGAAGGCTTCACACTTACGACCTCACTACCTCCCCAGAGCTCCACCTCCAAATGCCATCAAATTGGGATTAGGATTTCAACATACGAATTTATGGGGGACACAGACATTCAGTCCACTGCAAGGATGTTCTAAGAAATAAAATATAAAACTTCCAAACTGAAGGAGAACAGAAAAAATGGACCTGACATTAGAGGAAAACTCACTGTAAAATATGTCTTAAATAGAAGGGAAATTGGGAATGCAGAATTCTTTTAATTGGATCAAATCAACCAGTATGTCTGGAGACTAAAACATCTTAGAGAAGCAAATTTCAGAGTGAGAAAGAAATCTCACTCAACCAACAGTTCGCTTATTTCTAACTAACATTTATTGAACACCTGCTGTGGTGCTCCTGCTGTGACAAGCACCGTGCTAGATGATGGAGTTACTATGTATCTCGGCTTTTGAATTTATTTTGGGATGCAAATTGGTAAACAGATAATTTCAGTATACTGCGGTATGTGCAGAGATGAAAGTATTCACAGGTGGTGAAGAGGGGGTATTGTGCCCAAAGAGAGAAAATTAGGAGAAACTTCCTGCAACAAATATTGTCTGAGCTGTCTTGGAGGATAACCAGAAATTTTCCAGGTTGAAAAAGGAGAATGGGCATCAGCAGGAAAAGAGAGCAGCGTTAGAGACAGCACATGGTCAAGAAAGAGCAGGGTGGAAGTGAAGAAGTGTGAACTCTTCAGTTCTGCAGGAGCGAACAGTACAAGGTGGGGGGAAATGAGGCTGGAGAGAAACACAAGGTAGACAGGCAGCTCCCCAATGAGGACCTTGTTGAGGAGCTTGAATCTTATTTTCTAATCAATGTTGACTTTGTCCATTACACGGAGACAAATACTTTATTCTTAGATGTACGTTATTTAACATTTATCCATAATGGACCATTGGTTTAAAATAGGAAGACTGAAGAACACTGAGGTTGAAATAAAACTTAAAAATGAGCACAATGATAATTATGAAAATGTGATTTAATATAATCTTCATTGGATCTGGAAGTTGTATTCTTTTAATTAAAAGTCTTACATCAAGATGTCTCTATAACATCAAAAAACAATTTTTAAAAAGATACTACAAATACTGGTAATTATATTCAATTTGGGGCTTCTTTTTTTGGTGAGGAAGATTGGCCCTGAGAGCTAATATCTGTTGCCAGTCTTCCCCTTTTTTTCTCTCCAAGCCCCAGTACATAGTAGTATATCCCAGTTGTAGGTCATTCTAGTTCTCTGTGGTATGCCACCACAGCGTGGCCTGATGAGTGGTGTGTAGGTCCACGCCCAGGATCCAAAGGGCAAATCCTGGGCTGCCGAAGTGGAGCGTGCAAACTTAACCACTTGGCCCTGGGGCCAGCCCCTGGGACTTTGTTTTTAGGGAAAAAATTCTATCCACACTTGCAATATATTATTTGTGGATACATCCTTGTGAATACTGCTTTAAAATCTCTCTCTAGGGGCCGGCCCAGTGGCGCAGCGATTAAGTGCACATGTTCTGCTTTGGTGGCCCGGGGTTCACCAGTTCAGATCCCGGGTGCGGACATGGCACTGCTTGGCACGCCATGCTGTGGTAGGCGTCCCACATATAAAGTAGAGGAAGATGGGCACAGATGTGAGCTCAGGGCCAGCCTTCCTCAGCAAAAAGAGGAGGATTGGCAGCAGTTAGCTCAGGGCTAATCTTCCTCAAAATAAATAAATAAATAAAATCTCTCATCTTAATATTTAGAAACAAAATGAAAAATTTAAGTAATAAACCTGAGTGATATCACATCCATCTCAGGTGGAGTAATGGGAATTGGATTTACCCTCTGCCACCTGAGACAAACAAAAACCTGTGCAAAACACAGGAAACAGGTGTTCAAGATACAGTCATTAAGTGATGAAGGACAGTGGTTCCTGAGAGAGAGGTAATGAATGAAGCGAGCCCTACAATTGCCTCAGCTTATGGTTCTAAGAGAGTTTCCAGTGCAGAGGCCACACTGCAGGGAGGGTAGCCTAGGGCTGTCCTAGTTGATTCCTCGAGTAGAGGAGAAGGAAACGAGAGCCTGGGGGAGAACAAGGAAGGAGTTTGCAGGGCAGAGTACAAGAGGGGAACTCCCGAGATCTTCAGAGGATCACACGTTCCATATAAAGTTTAGGATGGATTCTTCTATTTCTGCAAAAGAACACAAATCATCGAGATTTTAATAGGAATTGCATTGAAACTGTAGACTGTTTTCAGTGGTTGTGACATTAAGATATCTTCAAGTCTTCCAATCCATGAACATGGGATATGTTTCCATTTATTTACATCTTTAATTTCATTCAGAAGTTTAGTAATTTTTACCATACAAGTCTTTCACCTTCTTGGCTAAGTTAATTCCTAGGTATTTTATTCTTCTTGATGCTATTGTAAACGGAATTCTTTTTGCAATTTCTTTTCCAGATCATTCATGGTTTGTGTATAGAAATGCAACTGATTTTTGTGTGTTAACTTTGTATCCTGTTACTTTGGAGAACTCATTTGTTAATTTGAACACTTTCTTTGTGGAATCTTTAGGGTTTTCTAATTATAAGATCACATTATCTGCAAATGGATAATTTCACTTCTTCCTTTACAATTTGGATGTATTTTATTTCTTTTTCTTGCCTAATATCTCTGGCTGGAACTTTCAGCACTGTGTTGAACAGAAATGATGAAAGCGAGCATCTTTGCCTTGCTCCTGATCTTAGAGGAAATGCTTTCAGTCTTTCACCACTGAGTATGATGTTTGCTGTGGGTTTTTCATATATGGCTGTTTATGTTGAGGCAGTTTGCCTCTATTCCTAGTTTTCAGAGTGTTTTTATCAGGAAAGAGCGTTGGCTTTTGTCAAATGCTATTTGTGTATCAAGTGAAATAATTATGTGGCATTTTCCTTCATCCTGTTGATGTGGTGTATTACATTGATTGATTTCTATATGTTGAACCATTCTTGCATTTCATGAATAAGTCCCACTTGGCCATGGTGTATAATTCCTTTACAATGTTGCTGAATTCTGTTTGCTAGTATTTTGTTGATAATTTTTGCATCAGTGTTCATAAGAGATATTAGTCTGTAGTTTTCAAGTAATATCTTTATCTGGCTTTGGTATCAGGGTAATGCTGGCTTCACAGAATGAGCTAGGAAGTGTTCCCTCCTCTTCCTTTTTTCGGTAAAAGTTTGAGAAAGATTGGTGTTAGTTTTTTTTTTTTTTTTTGGAGGAAGATTAGCCCTCAGCTAACTACTGCCAGTCCTCCTCTTTTTGCTGAGGAAGCCTGGCTCTGAGCTAACATCCGTGCCCCTCTTCCTCTAGTTTATACGTGGGTCGCCTACCACAGCATGGCTGCCAAGCAGTGCCATGTCCGCACCCGGGATCCGAACCAGCGAACCCCGGGCCGCCGAGAAGCGGAACGTGCGAACTTAACCGCTGCGCCACCGGGCCGGCCCCTGGTGCTAGTTCTTTTTTAAAATGTTTGGTAGAATCCACCAGTGCAGCCATCAAGTCCAGAGTTCTCTTTTGTTGAGAGATATTTAGTTACTGATTCAATTTCCTTAATAGTTACAGGTCTATTCAGATTTTCTATTTCTTCATGATATAGTCTGGTAGGTTTTGTGTTTCTAGGAATTTGTCCACTTCATCTAGGTTTTCTAATTTGTTGCTGTACCATTGTACATGATACTCTTATAATCCATTTTATTTGTGTAGAATTGGTAGTAGTGTCTCCACTTTCATTTCTGATTTTAGTAATTTGAGTTTTCTATTTTCCTTAGTCTGTCTGGCTAAACGTTTGCCAATTTTGTTGATCTTGTCAAAGAACCAACTTTTCATTTCATTGATTTTTCTCTATTATTTTTTTATTCTCCATTTCATTTATTTCTGCTCTAAACTTTACTATTTCTTTCCTTCTGCTAGCTTCATATTTTGTGGCTGGTGACAATAGGACTAGTCCTGGCCCTGTGTGAGTCCTTCGATCCTTTTGGGTACTTTGTTCTCCTGCATTGTGTAGTTTCTCATGCACGTGAGATTTACAAAAACAAAAGAGATGACTGAAATATTTGAAATGAAAACTAAAATGTTTGAGAAAAAGTACACAAGCAGTGTATTAATGGTAGATTAGATACTGGTGAAGATTAGTGAAGGTGAAGAGGTAGCAATAAAAATGATCCAAAATAAAACCAAAAAAATTAAAAATGAACAGCATCAGTGAACTCTGGAACGCCTTCAAACAATCTAAGTGTTGTTGGTGTCATCAAAGGAGGGATTGGAGATGGAAAAAAACAATTTGAAGAAATTATGCTCAAAACTTTTAAAATTTCAATGCAAGCTACAAACTTACAGAGTCAACAATTTCAATGAACCCCAAACTCAAGAAACATAAAGAAAATCATGTCAAGGTACAACATAAGCAAATGGCTCAAAAGTAGTGGTAAAAAGAAAATCTTAAAAACCAGACAAAAAAGACACATTACATGCAGAGGGACTAAAAAGGAAAACTGCAAATTTCTCCTTAAAAGTAATGCAAATGAGGGCTGGCCCCGTGGCCGAGTGGTTAAGTTCGCGCACTCTGCTGCAGGCGGCCCGGTGTTTCGTTGGTTCGAATCCTGGGCGCGGACATGACACTGCTCATCGGACCACGCTGGGGCGGCGTCCCACATGCCACAACTAGAAGGACCCACAACGAAGAATATACAACTATGTACCGGGGGCCTTTGGGGAGAAAAAGGAAACAATAAAAAAAACTTTAAAAAAAAAAAAAAGTAATGCAAATGAATGGGCAACATCTATAAAGGACTAAAATTAAAAAATCTGTCAGGCTAGAATTCTACATCTAATGAACATATCCTTTAAAAAATAAAAGTGATATAAACACTTTTTTTCTGACATAAAAATCTGAAAGCATTCATCAGCAGAAAATTTTCACTGCAATAAAAAAAAAATAAAGGAGGGCCTTTAGGCAGACGAAAAAATGATACCAGAGGGAAATATGGGTCTATACAAAGAAATAAAGAAGTAGTAACTACATGGCTAAATATACAAGTTATTTTATTATTTAAATATCTTAGTAATATAATTAACTACTTAAACAAATAATGTAGTATAGGGTTTATAACATATGTAAAAGTCAATTGTATGAAAACAATAGCATAAAGGTGGGAGGTAGACATATATACTATTATAATGTTTTTATATTAAATGTGAACTGGTATAATGTCAAAAGAAACAGTGTGATAAGTTAAAGGTGTATAGTATAAGCTGTAAAGTGACCACCAAAAGAACAAAACAATGAGATATAGCTAAAAGCCAACAAAGGACATAAACAGAAACTTTTTAAAAACCAAAATTTATCCAAAATATGGCAGAAGAAAGAATAGGAACACAGAAAAGAACAACAACAACAAAACAAACAGCAAGATAATAGATTTAAACCTAACGATATTAGTAATCACATTAAATGTAAATGGTCTAAACACTCCAATTAAAAGGGACAGATTGACAGGCTGGATAAAAAGCAAGATCTAAGTATGTGCCATCTATGAGAAATCCATTTTATATCTAAAGACAGAAACAATAGAAGGATGGAAAAATATGTACCATGCTAACATTAATCAGAAGAAATATTTTTTAAAATGTAGATTTCAGAAAAAAGAATATTACCAGAGATTAAAAAACTGTGATTTTGTAATGATACAAAAGAAAATTCATTGAGATGTAATGTAACAATCCTAGACTTTCATTAAAGCACGAAGCAATAAGAGATAGAACTACAAGAATCAATAAGCAAATTCATAAACATAGTAGAAGATAGCAGTACTACTCTCAGTAACTGATACAACAAGCTGACCAAAAATCAGTAAGACTATAGAAGAAACAGAATACAGAATATTATCCATCAAAATTGACTTCACATTTATAGAACACTCCACAACACCAGAATGTACATTCTTTTCAAGAACACACATTATACTTATCAAGATAGACCATAACCTAAGACATAGAATGTCTCAATATGTTTAAAGGAATTAAAGTCATACAAAGTATATTCTCTGACCAATAGAATTACACTAGAAATCACTAACAAAAAAACCTTGAAAATTCCAAGATATTTGGAATATAAATAAAACACATATGATTAACCAATGTGTT